TCCGGTTCATTTCAGGTTGTTGCAGCATGTTCATCACTGTCTGTCTGGCTCTGTGCAGCTCCATCACTGCTAGAAACGGAATCCTGCCTTACGACTGTTGCGGAAACTATTGAACTTGTTCTAACGGGAGGCAAAAATTTAGTGAGTTTTCGTTATTTTTAAGTTTTGCGAGAGATGTTTTTAGTGTTCTTCACGTGTAGTTTTAGCTTGCCGATTAGCAATCCAGCATTAACATTTGGAGGAAAATTTGAAACTATAATGTAAGAAAAACGGATACTGAGCTAATTCAGTGTCAGAGTTTACTTGCTTCTTAAGTACGTGTTATAATTTCAAGGTTTTTCTATTCATCTTGTTTTGCCTGTGTTTCGAATTTTTGCAAATTTTGCTCTGTTCATGCCGTTTTGTTGTTCGGATACGCAATAGGAAGAGAATCTGTTTTTTTAAAGAAATTTTTGTATTTTCAGCCACCTTCTGAGCGAAAAGCGGCGAGTAAACGTGTCGATGATGCTGCTGAAAATTTACTGTATACGCTTTTTTCTGCTCTGGTAAGTTGAAAAATTTTGTCGTCTTGAAGTTCCACAAATTTTCTAAAGCTTGGGAAATGCATATCTGGAAGTCAGCAAGAACACAGAGCTTTGCACTACTTCGTCTGATAGGTGTTTGATCTTGTAAATAGGGACAATAGTTTGAATTTGAAAATATTAGGCATTGGGGTGCATTTTGAAGTTAGTTGATTTCGATTTGCCATCCATACTAGATTGAAGAATAATTTCCCAGGATTTTGCTACCTAGATTTCTTGGGTTTTGTGAATTTAAAACGAGTTGCATATATCAGATCATGGCGCGATGTCCAGAAAAATTAGGGTCCTAATACATTTTTTGAGGCCGTTGGACCATTGCGGGATCAAGCATGGTTTCCCTGAGTTTAAGCTTCTTAGCTTGTTTAATTGTGGGGCTGAGCAGCATGCGTTATTTTTACTTAGATAAATTAAAACGTAGCTTAAATTCAAGATTCTTAAACATACCTTAGGGAATTCGTGTTTTTTTTCGAAACTATTCAAAAATTCGAGGTTACGGTTTTAGATTCATTCCAATTACGACTTTTGTTCGAATTTTTGGTGCATACTATGCCTATTCATGGGTAAACCCTGCTTTGTTCTGTTCGGTATCAATAAGAATTAGAAATCATCTTGTGGGAGGCGCGTTATCACATATGATTTTAGGAACGTGGTCGATTCGATGATATTGTGGATGAGAGGAAGTTGTACTACCAGTTTGGGCAAAAAGCTGTTGATATTACCAAATTTCGTCACTTCCTGATACGGCATCAAACTTTAATTTCAATTCACGAAGCTACCAGGCTCACCGCTATTTCGAATGGTACTGTCATTCGCCTCACTTTTTATAAGAACGATTTTTTTTTGAATTTTTGATTTTACTCTCAAAAAACCGGAAAGTTCCGAAATTTTTAGATTCAGTGATGTTTCATTGATATTCAGAAGTCAAAAATCGCCTTGCAATTTTATTTTTTACAAGGGACGAAGGCATCCTTAGGTGGGTTAGATGCTCGGGGTGCAGATATTCATCCGCTTCACTTTTGATAAGAACGATTTTTTTTTTGAATTTTTGATTTTACCCTTAAAAGATCAAAAAATTCCGCAGTTTTTAGATTCACTGGTGTTTCACTGATATTCAGAAGTCGAAAATCGCTTTGCAATTTTATTTTTTTACAGGGAACGAAGGCTGCGTTAAGGCGGGCTAGATGTTAGGGGGACAGATATTTTGCTGTGTTTTTGTTTTTAACGAAAACCATGCCCATTTGTGTTCCATGCTCATTTCAGGTTATCCATCGTTGTTCTTCGTTGTACGTACGCCGTACCATGCGGCATACACGTTGCTAGCACAACTCTATGGACGGCCTCCCGAAAGCGATTCGAACAATGCTGCCGGCGATGATAAAGAAAATGGACATTTCCAGAATGGCGTAAAACCTTTGACGGGTACCGCGAAGGCAGCTAAATTTTTCCAGATACCTGCAGAATTCGAACGGCCGCTCTGTAAATTGTAAGTTTTAATTCGAAAAATTGCATAGTTCTTTTGCGAAGACCGCATAAATACTGAGAAGGAAGAAAAGAAGGTTTAATTATACTTAAAATGGAGCACTGCAGTTTTTGCTAGAAGGAGAAAGATCCGAGAAAAGCGATCATGCGTTTTTGCACCAAACTCGCTGATCGCTATTAGCAGGAATGATC